GTCAGCTGCTGGTCAGTTTCAGCAGTGGCTGAATCAGGGAAGCCGGGGGCAGAGCAGCTCCAGTTGTCCAGCTGCCCGGAGCACTTCCAGGTTCCAGATGGTGCCGGACCATCAGGAGTGCCGGACCACTGGATGCCAGACCACTGGAGTTTTACTGTACTTATTTTTATTACCATACTGCCTAGGAGCCCCACTCACAGACCAGGATTCCATTGTGCTGGGTGCTGTACAAATACAGAACAAAAAGACAGTGCCCACCCCAAGGAATTTATAATCTAAGTATGAGAGACAACAGGCGGATAGTGCAACAATATTAAGAACCATGATAAGCAGTGATCTCAACACACTAGCAGCCTATATATACACATTGTCAAGTTTTTGTAGGCATCACAGCAGAGAAAAGTTTTGAGGAGGATAATGGGTTAGTTTTGAACATGTTTACAGGGAGTTCAGCACAAGTACCAAGGGCAGCATGGGAGAAAGGATCATGGTGCTTATTTGAAATATTAACAAGTGGGGTTGATGGAGGTTGCCCTCATGGACTAACTGGAGGTAGAAGTCAACGTATCAGTAGTTAAGAGATGACACACAGATAGGTTGCAAAGGGCCCTGAAAGTAAGTAGCTTATTTTTGATGCACTAAAGGAGTCAGTGGAGAGATACAAAGAGACAAAGCACTAGATAAGAAGAACAATCTGTGCAGCATCATTCTGAATGGATAGGAGTATGTCAAGAGTGCATTCACAAAGCAACAAAAAAAGAATGCTCAGGTAACTGAAAGATAAGTAAAACCAGCTGAAGTCTGTACAGCAATTCAAAGCTTTGTACATTTGCTCTAAAAGTCTGGATTTTACTAATGTAGACTAACCTGAACGTTGAATATATCTTAACTGAAATAGAAAAATGTTTTCTAACCCTATTATCTGTGAAAAATTTGTATTTTACTTTTGGGAGAGGGATGGGGGTGGAGGGAAGGAGGTGAAGGACAGAAGAACCTAGGGGAGAAGGAGATGAAAAGGTAAGAAACAGATTCTATTCAGCTGTTTTTACAGCATTCCCACAATTTTAAGTAAGTATAAATTTTTAAAGATTGCTATTACTCAGCAACCATAATAATGACCCAGCACCAAAGACCTAGATGTCCAGGATAATTTTTCAGAGAGCATCGTCGGATCACTATGGAAAGGACTCTCCAAATCACTCAGCTGTGTAGAGTTTGGCATTACAAATTAATTTACAAAAGATGCAAAAAATTAAATTTAAAACAGATTTTAGGCTTCCCCTACCACCAAGCCAAGAGCATGCTAAGTCTTTAAACCAGGAAATGAAAAATAATTCTTCAAGACACGAAAGTATAAAACAAAATGCTCACATCCAGATACCTGAAGCTCCAGCAATGCAAAAAACCAACAAAAAAACAGTAAACGTTCTTAGTTACTATACATGCTGGCATATTAACCAATTATCATACAAGTGTGACATTTGTTCAGTGAAGTTACATACATACATAATTCAGATATTAACACCTATGTTCCTTATAAGAGCCACACTTGCAAGCCTTAGATGTGCAAATGAGGTCTATTAACAAATGAGTAATTTGAAGGAAAACAAAGGCTTCTTTTTCCTTGCCATGAGTTTTGTATTAATCTCCACCCCAGAAATTCCCTTGAAATTGTGTCAGTTTAGACACCAGTATATACAATGAATGCTACACTAGGGCAACACTTCAGGAGGTGGGGCGGGGGAGGGGGGGGCACATGCCCCCAGACACTGTGGGCTGGAGGGGATGGCCAAAAATCAACGTGGGATAGGGGAACAGGCATAGGAGGGTTCCACCACCTTGGCAGGGGGAGCAATGCAGTGGAGCCACCTTGCTCCACTTCCCCCTGCCACTGCTGGTGAGAAGATGGCACCCTGCTAGCCCTCAGGCCACCTCAGCTGGGGGAAGAAATGGGGCGGGGAGAGGGTGGAGCCCAGGCCAACGGGTGGGGGGGTGGCGCCTGTCCCAGCCCTTCTCCGGCTAAACTAAACTTATCTGAAATAAGGCTGAAACTTTCTTACCTCAACATTTAGTACTTCCACAGTGTTGTCCAACAGCTTTAGTTTGATTGATAAATCCCTCTCATGCATTTTGGCAGGTGTCATTGCTATTGATGTAGAAAGGTTCTGGTCTGGCTCCAGCGTACTCACTCCAGTATTCTTCTGGACTCCCAAACGAGAACCAGGCGTCTGCAGTACTCTGTATGTTCCTTCTATCTCCCCCATTATTCATCAACAATGTCCAAATACCTAAACGGAATATAGAGAATCATGACTAACATATTTTTCATCTAACAACATTTAATTATTTCATTTCTTTCAAAATGAAGATTCTACAAACAGAAAACAATTTGACATTTTAAAAGTTATACATGAGTCCTCACATACTTTTTTTATTCAACTAACAAAATAATCATATTCCCATATTGAAAAAAAATAAAATTGACCAAAATGAAGTTGAAAAAGCCAATTACTGGGGAAGAACACAATGAAAATAGAGATGATAAAACCAAGTAGTAACACACCAAATAGTCAATCAGAAATATGGACAGGAAACAAGTAGAGATGTGAAAGGCTGCTTACCCAATAAGTATCACCCCAAATGCTAACCAGTTAAGTAGTAATAGGGAAAGGAGCGGGGAACTGGAGCAGCTCTCCACCTGCCACAGGTAGAGGGCTGCTCCAGCCCCGCGGGGCCCTTGCAGAGCCTCTGTCTGTGAGTAAACCAGGGCACCCTGTAGGCAGGGACTGCTGCTCCAGTGGAGCAGCCTCTGTCCATGGGAAGCCCAGGGGGCTGCCACAGATAGGGGCAGCTCCAGCAAGAACTGGGCGCTGGAAGAGCCAGCTCCAGCCCCAGCCCTGGGTTGGGGACAGAAGCCCCAGCACTGGGTGGGAGCGGTCCACAGCCAAGGATCCCGCTTTAGTTGATTAACTGGTTAAACTCTAGGTAAACCTAATGTTTAACCAATTAACTGATTAACTGGGATTTAACATTCCGAGTAACATGAGAGAGAGCATAGAAGCAAAACTCTCTCACTAGGAGGATGGTGAAGCACTGGAAGGGTTACCCAGGGAGTTAGTGGATTCTCCGTTTTAAATGTTTTTAAGGCTCAGCTTGACAAGCCCTGGCTGCAATAATTTAATTGGGGTTGGTCCTGCTTTGAGCAATGGGTTGGACTAGACCTCCTGAGGTCTCTTCCAAACCTAAACTTCAATAATTTTAAGTCATCAAGCAAAATGTTACAATTTAATCACTAATATTTTGCTTGATAATAAGGCAAGAAAAAGAAAAGCTACATATTAACCAATGACACAAATCAAAAAAGAAAAAAAATTCTTTTGTTGTTTGCACACTGGTTCAGGTCATCAGGATCAGTCATTTGATGCCCACTGCAATTTATGGAAAAGGTGACTTGGCATCATCTCTGGAGATCCTGTGGACTGCCAGTCCTGTCACAAAGACATACCTTAGGCCTTGTCTACCCTTAGAAATAAGGCTGAATTTATTAAGGTCAATTTTTCAGCACCCAATTTTGTAAAGTCAAAGATACATGTCCCCATTGTGTGCAAGAATTCAATGCAGTGAGTCCCCAGTAGGGTGGATACTGTCAATTTTGACAGTGATGCACTGTGGGTAGTCATTTCACAGTTCCTGCCATCCTTTTGCAGTCTGGGTTACCCTCTCAGTGCAAATGGGATCAAAACAGTGCAGTAGGTGGTTCTGGGTACATGTTGTCAGCATTCCATAATGCACTCATCTCCTCCCTCCCCTCCAACTGAAAACATCGTCAAACAATCTTTTTGTGCACATTTTTGCCCCTCGTTATACATGCAGACATCATAGTAGGATAGCAGATGCCACAGCAAGATAAGCATGCAATCCAGCATAGAATCCATTCAGCAGCAAAGTTCTATGGCAATCATAGCAAACATCGTGCACCTTATGTTACAGTATGTCCAGAGCCCATTCAGGAACTGCCGGAACGAGGAAGACTCTCAGAAGGCCATGAAGAGACTTCTGCGAAGCATTTGAGAGAAGCAATTGACAGATGAGGGCAGCATTTGATCCTCTTGACACAGTGGAAAGCCAGTTCTGGTGCTGAGACACAAGCAGAGATTGCTTTCCTCCACTGTGAAGCACACTGATACCAGAATGAGATCTGCTCCGACAGCTCAGAAGCCAGTGGAAATAGCCTTGCGGAAGGTTGCAACACCAGACAGCTACCAGTCAGTTGAGAATCAATTTGAAGTAGGTAAATCTACAGTGGGGGCTGCTGTGATCCAAGTAGGCAATGCAACCTATACCCTTCTGCTAGGAAGGGCAGTGACTCTGGGAAACATGCAGGACGTAGTGGATGGCTTTGCCTCGATGGGATTCCCTAACTGTAGTGAGGCAGCAGAGGGTACGCATCCGTCTTGGCATTTGGCCGCCTTGCTGAAGAGCACACAGACACAAGGACCTGCGTCTGACGAGGGGCTTTGCCCACCGCGCTTATGCTCCTGCAGTGCAGTTAGTCTGCGAGGAGCGCTGGTCTGGCTGAGCGGTCCGCAATTCGGAGCGCTGCCCGCTTTACTGCCACTGCCCGGGGAGCCCGCTCGCCCTTCTTGCCCACCGCGCTTATGCTCCTGCAGTGCAGTTAGTCTGCGAGGAGCGCTGGTCTGGCTGAGCGGTCCGCAATTCGGAGCGCTGCCCGCTTTACTGCCACTGCCCGGGGAGCCCGCTCGCCCTTCCCTCGCAGAGGGGCCTGGCACCGGGGCGCTACGAGCCCCGCCCTCGTGGCACTAGGCGGGCGGGACTGGCCCCGGCACTGGGGGCAAGGCGAAGCAGTACCGGCCCCACGGCCTCCCTCTCTCCGAGCAGGGCCCCGCGGCAGGCGGGCC